GTAGAGCAGAGATTTACTGAGTGCTTCATTTTTCAACCACCATATGAATACACCCCTGGTTTCTGTATTTGCATATGCCTCATTGTATTCTTAAGCAATCTTTTTTTTAATGTCATCTTGAGAAGAATAAAATATAAGCAGTAAATCTCTTTGTTACGATTTGGATTAAATGTGCTAAAGACCGACTGACGATTCCTTTCTTCTGCCTTTTGACTGTAATACCAGAGTGTGCTTAGGTGATTTAAAAATGCAAATACACGTACTGCTGTTTCACTGTGTAAGGTTGACTGCCTTTATAAGCCAGATTCGAGAAAACCAGCTTAGGCAGAAGATTTTTAGATTAAATCCTCTATAAATGCATGTCCATTTAGAAGCTAAATTAACAAAACTCTCCTCATCGACTTCCCAAGTTTTCTCTTGCATGCCTTGGTAGCTAGAAAAGCCACTAGTCGTACAGTCAGCATCTTTGATATAAAGTTAGAAATAAAACTCACATGTACTTATTCTTCTACGTAGTGTCTCTCCTTGCAGTCAAAACAGAGCCTTTGAACAGCAGTGAAACCACAACCACGACTGGAGATGGAGCGCTTGACACTTTTACTGGGTCAGGTAAAGCCTTAAGCTCGTGTGTTGTTCTGTACGCATTGGGGTCCACCTCATCCTCCTGGTGAATAAGCGAGAATTGGATTTTTATAAATTCAGCAATAAATTCACTTTTTGGAAAACTCATTGTCATAAAATTATGCTTTTTTTAGAAATGATGTTTAGAATAGTTTTGCTGAACCTGCAGTTGACAGCAAAGCAATCCCCCGACTTTCCTATTAGAAATAAGCAGAACTTCTTTCATAATTATTTTATACAGTGCTTAATTTAATTATTAGGTTGTAATTGTTAACTTTGTTCCTTCAACTTACCCATTTAAATGACATAAAAACTGCCTTCTCTCCAACATTCGAGATGTAAAACTATCCATTTGATTCTTTCTAAATAACCTTGTTTCCTCTCTGGGTTTTAAAAAAAAAACCTTCCTGTGTAAGCAGCTGAGTGACAGGTATTAAAGGTTAATGGGCTGCAGGAGAGCACATGCTGGTCGCATTAGAACCCAGCCTCTGAGAGCACGACTTTCGCTCAAATGCTTCAAAGAGAACAATAGCGTGTCTTTAAACATCAATCCTCTTTAAATATAAATACCTGATAACTCCCAGGTGGGCGAAAGGACAGGCAATAAGTTGACTTAAAGATTTTTTTTCGTTACTATGTTTCGTTCGGTTGATTATCTGGTGAAAGGACGTTTTTTTTTTAACCTGAGGAGGAATTTGTATAGCAGAAAGATGAACATTAAACCTAGAAAAGTATTTGTGATAATTAAATCTTGGTTCTGTTATTCTACTCTAATATATTTTATACTTATTCATGTTCTCATATACAAGGATTTTGTGTGGGTATGCTTCTCATGTAAAAAGAGCTGAGGTAAATCCTTGACTATAATGTCATTATAGCATATATTTGATTTTTATAGATACAGATGATCCCGTTTCATTGGTTCACACTGATTGGAAGCAGCTGCCATGTATTCACTTAAATATTAGTACTCCAAACAGAAAGATATAATAATTTATACACTTTGTATAGAGAAGCATGTGTCCTAATTCACATCCTTTCTAGCAATTCTCTTGCCTCTTAGCAGATAAATAGGCACCAACTTACCCTAGCATTTATATTACTTACCATAACTGTTGTAAACTTTCTGCAAAGTAAATGCATATATGAACACAGTTTTTAAGGATAGGAATGAAATTAAGTGATTGCTGATATACTTAAATAGTACACTACAAGTCAATGAAAGCTGAATGAAAAAATTATGGGATGTTAGCTCCAGAAGGAATTTCAGAGATCTGTGATGATCCGTTTTATAGGCAAGAATATGGAGGCACAGAGAAGTTAACGGTGGTTAAGGCCATACAGTCAAGGCCTCACAGGTGGTCACTGGTATTAATGATTCTAGAATGATGTCCTGGTCAGTCCAACAGTCTTTTCTTTAATACCCCACTGGAAAATATAAAGATGGAAAAAGAAACAGGTGTGAACTGTCAAGCTGTCTGGAATTTACTCATATTATATTTACAAATAGTTTCCCAGTTTTCTTTTAAGAATTATCTAGGGCTGTGCTGTCCAGAAAAGAAGCCACTGGCCATATGTGGCTATTTAAGTCTAAATAAAATACTATTTGGTAAAGCAAAAATTTTTTATCTAGTCACATTAATTACATTTTAAGTGTTTAATAGTTGTATGTGGGGTTTTTTAGTGGCTACCATAATGGACGACTCAGATATAGAACATTTCCAACGCCATGGACCAAGTTCAATTAGAGTGCTTTAGGTCAGGGATTCTCAACAGCACCACTATTAAAAACTTGGCTAATTTTTTATTGTGGGAGAGCTGTCCTCTGCACTGTAAGGTGTTTAAGCAGCATCCCTGGCATCTATTCCAAGTTAACAGTAGCTTTCCTCAGTTGTGACAACCAAAGATGTCTTCTAGCATTTTAAATGTTCCCTGGCAGGCAAAATTTCCACCCATGCCCCAACTTCATCTCCCACCTCTCATCCCATTGAGAGTCATTAATCTAAGGTGTTACAGTAATACGGGTAAAACCTTAAAATTGCTTGACACCACCCTATGAGAATCTGATAATATTCATTAAAAATGTGTTTTAATTAATTTTCAGGACATTTTGAAGACAAGCACTTTTGCTAACTTTTGTATGCAGAAATGATGGAGTATAATGAGTTGAGTGCTTTGCATACATCTCTTGATTAATTAAATGACAAGGGGGAATAAAAGGAAGGACTCCTAAATTTGTACATGGGATTCCAGAAATCATACTGGAAAGATTAGGCTGCTCTGTGTAGGAACAGTCTTTACTTTGATCAGCATAATCTCAGCTCACTTTAATCCAATTTTGTTGTTGTTTTCAATTATCTGCAGATTTATTAGTTAGAATAAAATATATACAGCTTCGTTAAGAAGCATAAACTTTCTAAGTTTTATGTAAACATAGTTTTCTGAGTCAAAGGTTTTGTTTTCTACCTAGAAAATGAACATATAGACATTAATATGAAATTTTAAAAGTTGAGCCTTTATACTGTTGTGGGTACATTATTCTAATGGTATCTAGATTCATTCATTAGAGGGAAGAAGCATCCTATATATTCAGATTTGTGTTCATATATGTGAGGCTTTTTTTCTGAAATAATTTTGTTCTTTGGCTAATTCAATAAAAGCTGCATGTTTCTTTTTATTATTTGATGTTTCTTTAGAAAAGCCTTGTGTTTCACAGTCTTGAGAATAACTGATTAGTATAGTCTGAGTCTTGAGTGTACCACAATGAAGTTTTATAAATGAAACAAAAAATGTGGAATTGAGCCTTACTTAAGTATATTTCTGCTAAATAGAGTATAATTATTGTGAATCAATGAATCAGACTGAATTTCCTGTGCAGTACACTGTTGCTATTATGTAGCCCATAGTGTGAGAGAAAAGGCCTGTTCTCATTGAATTGATTTGAAAGTTTTAAACATTCTTTATGTTTTTAATAAATAAGTAGAAAATTAATGGTTCAGTGGTTCATGTGTTTTCAAATATACATAGCAAATTCACTTAAATTTGGTTGCTGAAAATATTTAGAACATAACACCTCTAATCATATTCAGTGATTGTCAAAATTGATTCATAATATTCTTGAAAATATACTCTCTGCATTATTGCTATGAAAGCTATAATATACTCTCCGTACTCAGAGCTTACAGTCTAAATAGCATTTTAAATACATTAAATTCTATGTGTTTATGAAGCAATAGATCACAAGGGTACTTAATAGCATTTGGATATAGAAATATATCATGTTTCATAAAATAGTTAGCAACCTAAGCCTATTTGTCACTTTTACAATTCTAAAAGTTTAGCTCCAGAATTATTATGAACAACTTAGAAAAGACATAGTACTTTGAAGTATAACTATGATTGATTAGACTAAACTAATTCCAGCACTGCATTGTATACTACTTTAATCTTTTTGAAAAGTGAATGAACAGCAGATGGCCTAATAAAGACACTCTGTGTGCTTGCCCAGTATGGATTGGCTCTGAAGGGACTGCCTTAACACTTTAGGGTCCATATATTTGCAGTACATCTGTCTTAGTCAAGGCAGATGGTTAAAGGAAAGAGAAACTTCCAAACTTTTGGATACATTCCAGTTTGGGACTGCATGTTTGGCTGAAATGTTAATAGGACCTGATTTTCACCTTTAAGTTCTTCTCAAAAAAGTACAATCTCTGATAGTTCAAAATATATTTATAAAATGATTGCTGCTGCTTCTTGCAGTTAGGTGTTTTTTTTTTAATGTTGCATTATCACCCATGCTTTCTGTGTATATTCCAATTATTATTAGAATTATTTGGACCCTGCATTTTTAACTACTCATTGGATTGGCAAAATGAAAGGAAAGAGAAAACGATATCATTTTACAACTTGAAAATGAAGGTTGAAGCATCATATTTTTCTTAATTTTTATTATATTTCTAATAGAATAATACACAGGAAGAACAATATATTTGGAATTTAAAACATAAAGTCTGCCAATTAAAAAATTTACCTTTATATCATGAAAGCTTAATTACCTATAGTCAAGGATATCTATTCATAGCATATTAATACGTAAGAGCATGCTACGGATTTAAGAAAATGGAGGAATGATGAAGGGGAATGATTTGTGAAAAAAGTTCGTGTCATGCTCCTAGCACATACGTGAAACAGTTTAATTAGAAGAAAATGTTTAGGTATCTGTTTCTGTCTAGAAAATGAATGAATTTTCTGTTTAGAAAATGAATGAATTTTTTGAAACATATCTCTAACATAGTCATTTCTTGAAATAAGTTCTACACACTCCAGTGAAATATATTTATAAAGCAACCTTTTTTTGCACTGGTTTTTGTGTCTTACAGTAATAACAAGTAGTGGCTATAGCCCCAGATCAGCGCATCAATATTCCCCACAGCTGTATCCTTCCAAGTAAGTGGTCAGTAGTCTTTCAGATTTGTTAGAATGATTTTCCAGCATTATCTTGATTAATAATGTTTATACAATATAACAACTTTAAATCAGGATATATTTAGGTATATAAATGTTATAGATAGGCAGTTGAATTGATATATACTTGGATAGATTCATTGGATAGATTAGACATTAGGTAAATACCCTTCACAAGTCTAGGAATACCCTCACTTATATCTAGACAATTGCTTTAATTCTGGATATTTATATACTTTGAGGAAAGCATCAAGCTCAAACCGGAATACACAGATTTTTTAATGAAAATTCAAAAATGCTGACTAGTTTAAAGAAAATCTAAAAAGATTACATTTTATTCAAACATCAAACTTCATAATTTGTTCCATCATTACAATATTTTTATTGGATTTCAAGTTCTAATACACATTTTTGAAAAATATGCACTATTGCTTTTATGACTAATAGAGTCAACTTTCTGAGCACAGTGGTAGAAATTTCAAGTTTAACTACATTAGGTGTATCTGAATTTGGTTGCCATCAGCCAGATGTGTCAAGATTTTGGATTCCTGATCATGTACATTTAAAAGTTATTTTCCACAGCAGCTAGAGTGTTTATCCTTAAGTATAGGCTAGAGATTGGATATCCATTTTGGGAACATTCCATAAGATGTGGCATGATGAAGGGAATGGCATTCCATTTCTTTTCGGGAAGCTGCCTACTTTTTAATTTTTTTTAATTTTATTTATTTTTTAAGATTTCTGGTTCTCTGTAGAGAATTTTTGACAGGGCCTTTAATGACTTTTGTAGTCATTACATAGCATTGGGTCATGCATGGTAACAGGAAATATGCTCATGAGTGAACTAATTAACTGGCCTGGGCTTTACTTTCCTCATCTACATATCAGTTGGAATACTATTTCGAATGTAAGCAATATAGACCTGGAAGAGACTTTAGGTGTGATATCTAAACCGAAGTTTTCTTTTCACAGGTGAGGTGTAGACTTAGCGAGTTTAAATTATTTGTCCAAGGTAACTAGACTGGTTTGTAGCAGAGCCTGGGCTCCTGACATTCAGACTCTTGTCCTTTTCCATATTGTTAAAATGATATTATGGATAAAGAAGAGGATTACTTCCGGGCTATTATCAGGTTTCACTGAATCTAAGCTGTCTGAATTAATATGCAGTCTTTGTTGCCACAGTAATGCTATTTTTCTGATATTTAGGCCCTATCCACACATTCTTTCTACACCAGCAGCTCAAACAATGTCTGCCTATGCAGGCCAGACTCAGTATTCGGGGATGCAGCAGCCAGCCGTCTACACAGCGTACTCACAGACAGGACAGCCCTATAGCCTGCCCACTTACGGTATTTCACATCTTCTCTCTTCTTCTTTGGTTATAAGCACGTAATCCTGCTGGCTAGTAGTTGTATAGTCTAATATATTGATATGTCACAACTCAGAAGTAAGATCACTTTACTAATGAAATGGGTTGCACATGCGTTTTCCAAACAGATCTGGGCGTGATGTTACCAGGCATCAAGACAGAGGGCGGACTCTCACAAACTCAGTCGCCGTTACAGAGTGGGTGCCTCAGTTACAGCCCAGGGTTTTCTACCCCGCAGCCAGGCCAGACACCTTATTCTTACCAGATGCCAGGTAAGTACCACACCGGAAACATGTTATGTGAGAAAGAATTCTTTGAATGAGACTCCTTGGCTTCAGACTAGGAATATAAAGTCATGAGGACAGTTTTAAATCTTACCACTGCTCACACGACGTCATCAGAAAAGACAAATAACTAGGAAGAAACATGATGAAAAGAGTTCAGTATACATCAAGAAACATGACCCATATTTAAGTTTAAGTTGCATAAAATTGGCAGGAAACTAAGTCCAAGCAAAGCAACCTCCAGGCCAGTCGCCACACCAGTCACATGTTTGGCATCTATTTAAGTGATTTCAAAGATTCATCACAAAACCCAGTATTTTCTTGTCAGGATTCCTTACATACGTAAGGAATGCTTTTTTGATTAAATTTAAAATTGAATTAACACTTCTCTAAGTCCCATTTATTGTTGAATAATTGAAGACTTTTTTGTTCATTTCTAAAATACCTCTCCCCTGTTAATACTATATTTCTTGAATAGGAATATTTAGATAATTTGTACCTCCACCTTAAAATTTTTTCTCCATGTACAATCATTATTTAATTTTTCTTTTTGTCTCCAATTAAAAATTACTTTTTAACATTGTGTAGTAGTTGCAGAAAATATTTTAGTGACATACTAAAAACATTAAAAGGTTATTTCCTATCTGTCATTTTTTCTATATGTTTAGTCATAGCTTGGGGGCTATATTAACATTATTTGAACCAACTAATATTGCCATTTTAGTTGACTGACTAAAATGAAATAATTACTTAGACCTTTTTGGCTGAAATGACAGGTCTCTTTTTTCCTTATAACGTTGGTAGATACATATATGCATACATGCCTCAACCACAATAAGCCACTGTGGGAAATGCCATAGAGACATATCCATTTATTCCCCAGAATACTTTCATATCGGATATTCCAGGCCATGTCAGTTTGTGTCGATTACCTAATACTATTGCTATTCAAGACACATTGATAAAACAAGTAATCAGCTGCCTCAATAGTCTTTTATTTTATTCCTTAACAAGTACATTCCATGAGAACATTTTTTTTTAATCTGTAAATTGATAGTTCACTTGTTTTTGCTCTAATTTTAAAAATAATTAAATAACTTTCAGACCTTGTCGTAAAATTTTAGAAGGTCATCAAACCTTAGATGATTGCAGTATAAGCAGTTCTGCCTTGGGTCTGAGCCCTAGCTCACAGCTTTTTTTGTTCTAAAGAAAGGACATAGAGGAACAGAAAGATGGGGAGCTGGAAGCATGAACTCTAAATGGATTCCATGTGTTTATTTCCTAAGCTAGCCCCAGCCAAATGTTTGAACTTGAGTAGTTTTTGTATGTATATGCAGTTGATATGACCACTGGAAAGTTCCAGTAGTTTCCTGGAAGTAGCCTCAGTATGGATAATATCTTATTCTTTGAGTACTTCTGTACGTGTAGACATTGACCCTTGAAGGTTAGCCAAGTCCTTGGTAAGACTGTTCCCACAAGCTCCTGTTTACCTCTATAGACTTCTAAAGAAAAGACTTTACCTGTTGTCACAAGACACAACTAAGGACATTTTCCTTAGAAATCTCTCAATTTTAAATCTCACTGCCTCAACAACAAAATTTAATATATATTTCATTGAATTCTGCAAAGTGAAATAATTTTAATATTTTTCAAGAAATATTTTTAAAATGCAATTTGTTCTTTACCTCTAGGTTCTAGCTTTGCACCATCATCTACTATTTATGCAAATAATTCAGTTTCCAATTCAACGAATTTCAGTGGTTCACAACAGGTATAGTAGCTTTTTGTGTTTATGCTTTTATATATATTTCAGACTTTGGAAGAATAGTATCAGGTTAGTAAGGTTTATGTATTTAAAATTAAGATGGCATTTCAGGGTAGTAAAAATTAGCTGTCTGGAATTCTTTGGATTTGTGTAAGTCTGGATGTTTCAGTTTTCCTGATTGCTAAAGTTTTGCCCTTTAAACATTTAAGCCATGATTGTTTTAGTCATTTGACAGGATATTACAGAATCTATTGCATATTTTCCTATTATCTTAAGCTATACTAAACATAATTTTATTTTTTCGTGATAAAATAGTTATTATGAAAATTCATACGTTGAACTATAATCAATAATCAGATTATGATGTAGGCTATAAAACACTCTTGGTCCAAAACCAAATCATTTGTTCCTAAACAAAATGCCTCTCAAACTACTATTGGCTTTTATTTTTTAGTTCTATGATTTTTTTTTTTTTGATAACTGTTAAATTCCTACTGCCCTGACAGCTGTAATTTTTTGCTTTTTTCACCCACTACACCTGCTCCTAGAATTCCTTAGTCCTCATAGTGATGTTTGCTTAATATTTTTGTGTGTTTTGAAACCTGCGATTGTTTTTAGGATCGTGTTAGAATTATGTGTGGAACAAGCGTGGATGTGCCCGAATGAGTGAGTTAGCATGGAACAACATGAATCTGTGATATATTCAGACAGTTTTGTCCCTATTTCCTGCTTCTCAGTCATGTTCAGAGTAGCTGAGGTAGAAGGGTAGCTGATTTCATGGGTAAGCAATACACTAACATAATCGCTGGACTTCTGTACATTCTAAAATATGTTACTGCGTAAGTGTTTGCTCTTCGGATTTACTGAAGGAATTATATTAATTGCCTTCTTTCAATTTTTATTAAGGTAACGAGGCAAAGAGGAAAATTTGATGATTAAGCAGTGGAATAATGATATTTTTGACAGGATTAAACTGTATAGTTGGGCATTAGTTTGAAAAATGTTTTCTTAAAACAGTAAACATCATAGTCAGTATGCATATTTTATTATAAAAAATTGAGAATTTTTGATAATCCAGGTAGCTTAATTTCACTCGCTCATTTATTAATACACCAAACATGTATTGAGCACTTGTTAGCCATTAGGTTTTTTGACTGTGCATTGGAGATTCGAAGTCAGTGTTCCCTGCTCTCTGGAAGGATACAATCCTCCTGAAGACACAGATATGAAAATAATATGGACAGGGAGTAGAATATTTGGAATATAATAATAGAAATATACACTAGGCAGAGTGGTAGCATAAGGGGAAGACTGTTTTGTTCTTTGTTGGGATAATTAAAAAAATGATTAATAAGGAGAAGAAAATTTATTGACAAACAGTTTTATATCACAAAATACATCCAATACTAGCAGTATATTTAATTCAGTGGCCCCAATATAATATGTAATCTGTCTTTTGGACCATGGTCTGAAGACTAATTGATTCTTTTAGCAAATACTCACTGAGTGCCTATTAGATATTAGGAACTGGTCTGTATCCTGGGGAGCTGAAGGTAGGAGCAGGGTGAGTGGAACCTGTTTCTTGCTTTAGGGAGCTTTCTGTCTACTAAGAAAAGCAGACAATAAACCAGTAAATACCTGAGTAAATATAGAATTGGAAAGCATGAAGGGAGAGAACAGGGTCCTATTAAAAATATTATGAGAAGACTAATTTTGAGTAAGGGGGATTTTGTGAAAGCCTTCTCCATGGAAATGACATTTAGGCCAAGTCTTCCAAAAGTTAGGTGAAGAATGAGGGCAAGGGTGTTCAGGCATAGAAATCAGCATGTATCACATCCCTGAGGGGTGAAAATCATGGGGTGTCAGTGAACTCAAGGAAGGCTGGAGTTTAGTTTGCACCTGAGGGACAGGTGGGGAAACATCCATTTATGGAGGTAGGCTGCAGCCTGCTCATGTAGGGCCCTGTGGCTTATAATAAGGAACTTCAATTCTATTCCAAGCCCAAAGGGAAGCTATTAAAGAATTTTTTAGCAGGAGAATAGCATCATGTAATTTATTTTTGAAAAATATTACTCTAGCTTCAGAGACTTTGGAAAAAGCCAAAAATGGAAATGAGGAGAGCAGTTAGAAAACTGGTACATTGGCTACAGCAGGCAGTGAAGGTAGCTTGGACAAGGTGATAAGAGTGGAGATGAAGAGTAGGGGGAATCTTTGAGATATACTTGAGTGCAAAAAGACACTATAATCACTGGAAGCTGGTAGACTGGACCTTTCCAGTGAGTAAGTTCATCTTCCTCTCAGGGCACTGGCAGCCCAGTGGAGAGCTTCCCACACAGATAGATGCTGGAGTCAGTCTCTCTGGCTTCCAGTTTGAGCCCTGAAACTTGCTGTCTGACTTTGGGCAAATCACTTTAAACATTCTGTGCCTTTATCCCTTTACTTCAGTGTAAAATAGAGATAGTAATAATACTGAATAGGAGGTTGTGAGATTTCAATGAGTAAATCTACTAAAGATCTTAGAGGAGTGCCTGACACAAAGTAAGCACTGTGTTAATATTTGTGATCCATGTTTTACTCTGAGAAAAATACGTTACTAGGAATTTTGTCCAAATACTGCCAAGAGTTTTCTGGTTTTTTTGTTTGTTTGTTTGTTTGTTTTTGACTCTCAGGTAATAGTAGGGAACATCAGATCCTGAAATTAACAGACAAATAGAATTTTCATTTTCTGCCATACTGCTTAACCCTTTCTGATGATACATATATTTGCTTATACATATATTTACGAACGCAGAGAATTTCCTCTTTTGGAAACCACATCAACCATGGATCTTTGTTTCCCTTAGAAACGTGCATTAGGGAATCTTCATCCTGACCAAGGATTTGTCATCACTGATAACAGTTTGGGCTAAAACATGTCAGATATATTAAACACCAATTATTGCAACAAATACTTATTCCTTATCTTAATATGTAAAAGGATTTTGAAGGATTATTTACATCATTTTAAAATTATTAAAATTTTTTTTAAATAAAAAGCAGGTGAAAGGGATTGACCCAATGGCTTTCTTTTTTCTCTAACAAATGATGCAAACTAAATATATGAAAGCCTCACGAAAGACTTTAGGTCAAGGCCTCAGGTGGCATGTAGCCTGTGAGAAACTGGGTAAGAATATCTTTTATTCATTTTCTTTTCTCTACTGTTTACCTCCTGCCAAGAAAACAGAATTATCAAGGGTAGCCTAAAAAGGGAACAAAAATCACAATAATGCAGCCCAAGGTCTGTATGGAAGCGGGGGGAGGGGCACACCTCCTCCTTGCTGGTGATATTAGAAGATGAGAATGAATGCTGTGAATACGAACACCTCCTTCTCTCCTCTTCAAGTGCATTAGACCTGAGGATGTACATCCTTGGAAATGTAATTCTGGGGGGAAAGTGATGCATATACAACCTTTAAACAGATTAAAATTTGTGTACTGGACCTGGTTTGCAAAACCCGCAAGGTATTTCATTACTATATGCGTGTAGGAGATGCCCACAGAATGGTCTCTGCTTATTAGGATCACCTCAAAGCTGTGGACTCCAGAACCAGTGGAGCCAGATACTAATCTTTCCATTGCCATTGCCATTGCTTTTCTTTGGAGTATACTAGAGGGTAATCTGTCTTTCAAACACACACATATGTCAATTATTATTTCAGGATTATCCATCCTACGCAGCCTTTGGCCAAAACCAGTATGCACAGTATTACTCTGCATCAACATATGGAGCATATATGACATCAAATAACACAGCTGATGGCACGTCCTCCTCGACCTCAACCTACCAGTTGCAGGAATCTCTCACAGGACTGACTAGCCAACCAGGTACAGATCTTCATCCAGGTGAAATACTTTTTATATGTTGTGCTGTATCTAATAATATGGAGAAAATGGGCATTTTAAAAACAAGGCTGAAAGCTTCCAGATAATTATGCTGATGTTTAATCTGTGCTAGTACCCCTGATTTAGATGAGGCTTTTCTGGCATTCCAGAAACCTTTCTTTTAGGTGCGGGATAGTTAGGAGATTTTAATATCAAATGACAGAATACATATGAATATGGAGATAAAAGGTAAGTGGATCTTTGACCAGACTAATTATTTCATGGAGATCTTGACAACATAGAAAAGTTCTTTGGGTAAAACTGATGATGTTTCCTTTATGCTTGAGAAACGTTTAACTTTTTCACCTTACGAGTCATCAGTAGCCCCAGCCAGTGAACATTTCCCACATTCCTAGGATTTTTAGGATCATTGGTAGGTAGTTTAATATCTTTGTCTGATCAACACATATTTAAAATCCATCATAGTCTTCATTGCCAGAAGCTTGTCTGTATTCTTATTAGAATTGTATTTGCTGACACATATTTAACACAGCTGAAGAACTTAAAGTTAAAAGCAAGTTTAATAGAGATTCATTGTAATCCCAATCAAAATTCCAGCAGGACCTTTCGGAGAAATTATCAAGATGATTCTAAAATTACAAGGAAAGACAAAAGAACCAGAATAGCCAAATAATTTTGAAAAATAAGAACAAAGTTTGAGGACTCACATTGCCTGATTTCAAAATTTATAAAACATAATAATCAAGAATGTTTAGTATTGGCAAAAATGTTAGATACATAGAACAATGGAATAGAATAAAGAGTCCAGAAATATATATATTTCTGGATATATTTTGTATATGTTGTATATAACATATACAACATATACAATGATACAACATATACTAAAAGTTTGGTTTTTGACAAAGGTGCAAAGGCAATTAGAGAGAATGAATAGTTTTTCAGAAAATGGTGCTGGAACACTGACATCCATATGCAAAACAAAACAAAACAAAACATAAAACAGAATCTTGACTTGTAACTCATACCATATACAAAACATGTTAAAACTAAAACTTCTAGAAGAAAACATGGAGAAACTCTTTGTGGCCTTGGGTTGCAAAAAAATTTAATAGATATCACGCTAAAAACACAATCCATAAAAGAAAAGAAAAGCTAAATTAGACTTCATAAAACAAAGAACTTCTGCTCTTCAAAAGACACCATCACAAGAATAGAAAGACATGCCACAGATTGGGAAAAAATACTTTCAAAACACATATCTGATAAAGTACTTGTATCCAGAATATATAAAGAACTATCAAAACTCAATAAGAAAATCGAAGTTAAGAAATTTTTTGTTTTTGTAAATACCATTTAGTATGTTCAAGAATATTTTTCTGACTTCCAGTTATTTGCAAGGTCCAAACTCACCTCTGCTTCTTTTTTGCCCTGCTTTGGAAGGGCAAGAAAATAGGGACACATGGTCACAATACTGTAAATTCTTTCTAAGTGGACCAGTGGTTCCAAGAAGACAAAAAGCCCATTAAACAATTATTTATTGAGTGCCTGTTAGGTACCAGGCACTGCTGGTATTTCAGCAGTGAATATGCTCTCTGCATACATTTAACTTCATTTAGCTTCCATTTAACAAGAAAGACAAGATCAAGCAAATAATTAAAATAGTATGAATGTTGAGAAAAGGAAAATGCTAGATAACGTGGGGAATATTAACAAGAAAACTAATTTGAATGTGAGGGAGTGACAATGAAACATACTTTTGCGGTACGTGGGCCCCTCACTGTTGTGGCCTCTCCCGTTGCGGAGCACAGGCTTCGGACGCGCAGACTCAGCGGCCATGGCTCACTGGCCCAGCCACTCCGCGGCACGTGGGATCCTCCCGGACCGGGGCACGAACCCGCGTCCCCTACATCGGCAGGCGGACTGTCAACCACCGCGCCACCAGGGAAGCCCGACAATGAAACATACTTTAAGTGACAGAGAAAATGCAATTATATTCATGAAATGGCAATATTCTTTCTTTTTGGTTCACTGTTATATATAGGGTGAATAAACAACAAGGTCCTACTGTATAGCACAGGGAACTATATTCAATATCCTGTGATAAACCATAATGGAAGAGAATATTTTAAAAAAGAATCTCAAAGTATTGTCTCTAATCTAACTATGGACCGAAGGGAAAATTGTTAATAGGTGTACTAGACTTTGATGCCCCTACTACCAATTTCTTTCCCCTTATCTTCTTTTTAGACCCTCCCTCCTGTAAACACATAGCCCCTTTGAACCTCTAGTCCTCATTCCCTCTTTTTAGTCGTTCCACTTAACCTCCCCCTCTCTTAGCAGCCATATCTTATGTAGCATAGGGCCAGGATGAAGGGAAGGCAAGAGTTGCCTGGGGTGCAGAATGTAAGGGGGCGTTCATTCTCACAGCCCTTAAATTTTACACCCTTGGCACACTACCTGCCTTAACTTCCGCCCAGCCTAAATCCCATGTTCCAATTCTGTCCTGATCCTCTGAATAAACACTTACATTTCATTAAGAATCTTATCTTAATTTAAAGAATGAGTGATTTCAGAATCTTTGCTTACAAGTGGTGGAAGCACTTTAGGTGGGGAGATATTTGATGTTCTCGTCACACTGTGAAAGGTATTTCTCACTGGTCAATGCACGGGGAAAACAAAGTAGAATGACTGTGTTCAGAAGCAAAACCACAGACTAAATATTTGATCATTGAGATATAGAGACCGAGTGACAGGACTGGTAAAGTGTTCTGGAATTTACTAGAATTGAGCTACCAGGAATGAAAACCATTCAAATACCCCAAAATGGTTTATGCTGGGTAGAACTTTGGGTGAAAGATTGGTTTTAATCTAATTTCAATATGACCACAAGAGTTTCTATTTACGAAAGACACAGATGGGTACTCTCTATTAGCTAAAGAATAATGAACTTTCAGAATACCTATTTTATTTACATTAAAAATACTAAACGCAGACATGTAGATATTCTGAGTACCTGACTTTGAATGTAGCACATTCATATGTGACATTCTCATATTCAGTATCAGAATGCTGCAATTTCTTCAGCTTTCCACTAGTTGCTAATACCAACGAATATAGTTTGACATAATTGTCAGATCTTACGAGACTTTCCATTGAATTTAAAGAAGAAATTGTTTCTACTTGTACCCGTATTATTCTCTCAACCAAAATCATAACAATACAAGTGTCTAGATCTTTAAGGAACTCTGTGACCTCAGACCTTCAGTCAAGGTAGTTTAAAGTTTGATTTTGCCTTTGCAGATCTGGCATGCATCCAAAAAGTAAACATGTTCATAACTATGGGATTTTTCTTTATTATTGATGAAATTTGAGGTATTTTGTTTAAGGGTATAAAGAGTATTTTCCACTGACTGGCTCTGCGTTTGGACTTAAAGCAGAGACCTAACAGTTAAATCCACAGTTTGTCATAAATCATTCACTATTGACTTCTCCCGTGTTTAAAATGGAAACATACTTTTTGTTCTATAAGAGACAGCTGGTTGCTCTGATTTAGCGATAAACCTAATGAAATAAAGTTGGATCTAAATATCCAAAACTTAGAAGGTGCAGTTATTCATTACGGTACTGATTAAAAGATAATTATTCAGTCATGTATAGTGTTAGCCCAGGAAAAAGCCTAGGGCAATGGGTAATGACTGATGTTATTTGGAAATTACAAATAGCATTCAGTCATTTATTTTACCTTATTAGGTAATTTGACAATGTATTTAAAGAAACATTACCATGCTGATTAAGAACAGATATTTTAGTTCATTATCTTTGAAAAGATCTTTCTTTGCCTTTAACATAAAGGTTATCTTAGGTATATTATATTTTTGACTCGCATTCGGAATGTTTGATGACTGATAGCACATTAAGCTTAGTGATATTTTTATAGCTCCTTTTTAAAATTTTAAACATCTTTAAAATTAAATATAACTAGCAATTTGTAACAACATTCTGTAGCCTGAGACCTTGGCAAACATTTCAGATACATTAGCTAATTAAACTTTACAAGTGTTGCAGAAAAGTAAAGGATATGGTAAGATCACTCTTTGAAAAGAAGCCAGTTTCTTAGGCAGAACTCAGTAGACTTTCTAGGCCTCGTGGCATTTCACATGAGGACAGGAAGGAAAGCAAAGTACTAATTCATTTCATTGAAGGCAACAAGAGGACTTAAACGGGAAGGACTGACCACATTTAACTTCTCTGCCAACTTTCATTTTCCCTACCTGCAGCATTACTGTACCCCAGTGCAATTACCTGAGTGAAATTGACAGAGGCACTGGAATTAACAGCTTTCTCCTTTTAAAAACAAATGTCAACAAATGTTTAATGACCAGTTGAGCTCAAATTCCTGATTTTGCCCTTTATCAGAAGAAAGGCTAGAACCTTCAAAAGATATGGAGGTCGGTTCATTTCCATCTGGGTGGTTGCTGTAGGAGCCCAAATACAGCACGTGGCCTCTTAAGGACCTGCTCTTTTACTTTGATGTTCTTCAGATGAATTCCTTGGCCCTCACTCTCACAGAAATTGTGTAAAGTCTGTGTAACTCTTTTGATTAGTAGAAACAGATATACATTTGACCTTTTTGTAACCTGGACAGACTGGTGCTATTTGGGAGAGGAAGTATTACCTAGTGATTAAAGCGGGAGTTCTGGAACTATATCAACATTTCACATACAGGCTATTTCATCTTGGTTGTTTAATTGAGTCCCACATGTCTCCAGTTCTCCCATTATTAAAAGAGGCTAATAAAGGAACAAATTCACTGGGTAGAAGTGAAGTTTAAGTCATATGTGTGTGTGTGTGTGTGTGTGTGTGTGTGTGTGTGTGTGTGTGTGTAAGAACGTTTCACAGTAAAGAGCTCTGACAAATCAGTAAGAAAAAGATAACCCAATTTTTTTTAATTAGTCAAAGATTTAAAGTTACTTCATAAAAAGTAGATACCAAATGAGTAAGAAACAAAGTATTCTACATCATTACTCATCAAGAAAATGCTAATTAAAACTACAATAAGATACTACCAACCCCTACAATCGCTAATATAAAAAAGACTAGCAATACCAAGTATTGGCGAGGATGTAGAGCAACTAGAGCTCTCATTGCTAGTAAGAGAGTGAATTAATACAACAACTTTGGAAAAGAGTGCTCAGTGTCTACTGAAGGTAAACATATGCCTTCCATTTGACCCAGCAGTCCCTCTGCCAGGTGTATACATATAGGCATATGCTTAGTATATACATATAGGGATATGCTAGGTATATACATATAGGGATATGCTAGGAAGGGGAGCTTATGCCCACAGATATAAACAAGAATGTTTATAACAGCTTTATTCATAGTTGCCTAAAACTACAAATAACCCAAATGTTCATCAACAGAATGTATAAAGCATAGTATACATATGTCATGAAGTTCCAGCCACATTAAGGAAAAAACAAACAACTGCTCCAGGCTACAATGTGGGTGAATCTCAGACGTAATGAGCAGCGACTCTAGTCAAACACATATTCCAATAAGCTTATTGAGACCCAGACACTTCCTATGACCAGTCTCTTCCCTTCCTCCTTCTACTCTTTTCACTCCCTTGTTGTGATAGCTGCTGACGTCCAGTTCATTCGAGTAGCTGAGTTGTTCCTGCCAAACTCTGTCTTTATGGATCCAGTCAACAATCAACCACCCATAACTGAACACAGTAACTTTGGGATTTTGCAAGATTTTGTCTATTCACCTCTTGCACTGTGGCAAGAACAAAGCTGCCTGATGAGAGTTAACTCCTGAAAATTGATCTATAATGGGTAGAAAGATAGGTCTTATGGAATGTCAACCAAAAAAATCTTATAAGCTTAATAAATGTGTGTTAATTTGAATCAATATTTTATCTGAAAAAGAACATTTGATTGGCAGGACATAGTAACCTTAGAAAAATTCTGTTTTATAAAAATAATTGAAAATAGAAAACATTTTGTGTGATATTTTTAAAAAGTAGATGTGTGTTTAAATACCCAAATCCCCATCTAACGCCTATACAAGTAAGCTGAAACATGATTTACTATGACATAGGGCTATATTCAGCATCGTAACTAAAGATCATCTTATTATGCTTTCTACTCTCATGCATTCGATAGCAGAAACCCATGCAATGAACTGTGCTAGCAGTGTTTTAAGAGTAAATAATATTTGGAACACAGACATTTTTTTGATGCTGTCCTGACATGCACAAATGTTTTCCAAAGAAAACATTTGACCGTTAGAAATTATTAGAGGTTAGCTATGTAAACACTGTTTACCTAAAACATCTCAGAAAAAATGTTACCTAAGTGTGATCTAGTTTGTTCAGATGTGTTTATTTAGATTAATAACTGCTTGGCTGTCCTCATAATTATCTTACTTTAATTTTTATGATAAAGCATGAGAGTCATAACATGTTTACTTTTAAAAATTGTGTAACTTTAATATAGTTTGCCATTGGACTCTCCTAGACATTTTAGCATTATGCATATGATTTCAATTAAGCATAAATCAGATTTATCTCAGTAATACAAAAAGATAGCTGCTATTACCCAGGCTTTAGTATACAAAGAAACTGAGATTCAGAGAGACTGAGTAAAATGCTTGAAGTCATATAGTAAGTCCAACTCTTGTTACTTGTGAAGTTTTACTGCACCTCACTGTCGCCTTGGTGGGTTTACCTTAACACCCTCTCCTACAGACTTGCCACTGCTCTGTACTCTCCGCCTCATAAGATGCTGCATCACTAGCTTTAGACGTGACGGACTTTTGGGTATCTGTGGGACATGCAGAACCCAATTAAACATAAAGTCTGAAACTTAAGATTTGACTTGGTATGATGTATGGATCATCACGTAGAAAGTGACTGACCTATGAGAGGGTTAGATTGCCCACATGGTGTGGAGTGGGGAAAATGATCAAAGGAGACAAATGTGCTGTCCATTACTGTAGCCGCTGACTTCAGTCTGTACTAGCCCCATTACAAGGGCTTAATAGGCACGTGTGGCTAGTACAGATTGAAGTCAGCTCTAAGTGTCATATACACACAGAATTTCGAAGACTTGGCATGAAAACAAGATTATGTAAAACATGTCATTTTTATATTTATTATATGCTGAAATGATAATGTTTTGGATATATTAGAGCAATTAGCATACAGGAATGAAATTAATTTTACATGTTTCTTTTTACCTTTTTTAACGCAGCTTCTAGAACATTTAAAATTATATATATGCGTGGTTACATTCGTGGCTCACTTTGTATTTCTGTTGGACAGCACTGGTACGTGCTGTTCTTTGAAGACGGGTCCTTTAAAAAGAAAAGATAGCAGACAGATAGCTTCTAGATAGAAATGCAAGGTCAAAGGGAAGGACTTTTCGACTTGTCTGTGTGCCCCCCGCCCCTAGAAACGGGAGAGGTTGAAGGGAAGGGAAGAGAGAGTTTGAGTAGTGGAGCATGATTATTCTCTAATAGGTGAGGCACGGAAGTCATATTTGCAGGGGGAGGGATGGGATCTCATCCTCAGACATAAGGAGGTGACAACAGATCTAAATTTAGATAAATACATAGGTGGGGATAGAGATGGGAAGTTGAGGGCATCTGGAGTACAAAAGGTCTTCAGATTTAATAGATCACATAGATCGAAACCAGGAGAAACCTGTGTGACCAGCAAAATTTCGACTGAATTAGAATTTTGTGTATTTGTGATTATAAATCTTTCTTGTCATAAGGAATTTTCTGTTGTAGGATTTGTTAAAATCATTAATCATGAAGACTCATACCTGATCTAAAAATGAAGTGCTGTCCTTGACAGTATTCATGTTATTTACAGGAGAGTTTGATACCGTGCAGAGCCCTTCCACACCCATCAAAGATCTTGATGAGAGAACGTGCAGGAGCTCTGGGTCAAAGTCCCGAGGAAGAGGCCGGAAAAGTAATCCCTCCCCGCCTCCCGACAGTGACCTGGAGGTACGCTAACTTCTCCTTAAAAGGTGTAATGTGATGTTTCATTTTATTGAATGATATATTCTATACCGTACAGTTCTGTAAAGTTTCAGACTTTACAGATATAAGATATATCATGAAATGAGTGGACCTACTATGAAGTAGGCATTTCACAGCTCTGAAATTGGAGATTTCGTCCATTATAATGGCAAAACTAAAAACAATAACAACTTAAAAATCATAATGCTCTATAAATTCTAGGCCTGAGATAGTTGCATCTTTTGATCCAAAAGACACAAACAGCAGGCACAAGCAGAAATTTGAAAAATAAAGCCATTGTTTGTGGAGTATTTATCTGAGAAGCACTCTTTCTGGGAGTACTAGGGTCATGAAAGATGCTTACATGGGTCCATAAATATTAAAAGGTAAAATTAACCTGTATGGAGAAAGAAAGTTGTCATCAGAAAATAAGAAAAATTCCAATCATTTGATACATATGTTAAAATTTTTATACCTGTAAAAATTTCCATGTGTCATTGTTCCTAGTTGGGACAGATCTTTTGAGATATATCCATACTAAGCAGGTTGTTTTTATTATGAAACATTGGAAGAAACTATTCTTAACCGTAATGTGTTACTTCTTACACAGCTGCATATTTTAATTGTGAAAAAAAGTTAAATTTCCAGATTTAGTAAAGTCAAGTAATAGCCCTTGTATCTCTTCATAAGAGATCATTTCCTTGATGTGAACAACAATAGTAGATTCAAATGCCTTCAAGAACCCAGCAGGTGATATGCATGAGTGAACTGGGCTAGGGGGCCAGCAGACTGGGAAGAGTGGGGAGCATTGGCCCAGTCTAAAGGGACCCCTGCATCATTGCCACATGGACTGTCAGCCACCATTGCCACAAACTGGAAGTTTGTCTACTGCAGTCAGAACCCTGAACTTTGTGTGAAATCTTCTAATCTGGACATTTTAATCAATAATTTGAAACCGTTCAAAACACTGTGCAGGCCAAACAACCCATCTTATGACTTAATCTGACCCAAGGGTCCACACGTTACAATTTCTATTTAGGGATTGTTCATTGATTCTTTAAAATATTTTTTAAAATATAATTCTTTGCATGAATTACAAAACTTCATGAATTCATGAGACATAAAATTTTATAAGAGCACACTTCTATTATAAAGTCCAAACGTGTCTTTTGGGTATTAACTGCAAGTACATATTTGAATGAATTCATTCAGATTAGGACATCACATTTTCAAGCCTATTATTTTTGTCACTCTTGTTCCTCAGGTTTTACAGGGGTTAGATTTGACAAATTTGGAGGAAAAATTAGTGTAGTAGCATAGATTTCCATATAATGGTATCAAGATTATATCCAACAATAAAGTGAGAGGTCTTCCACTTGTAAAGAGATTTCTGTTTCCTTAGAACTTGATAATTCTTCGATATTTATCTTTTTTCTCCAGCGTGTGTTTGTGTGGGACTTGGATGAGACCATCATTGTTTTCCACTCACTGCTCACGGGATCTTATGCCCAGAAGTATGGCAAGGTAAGAAATCAAGAAATTTTACCCCAAGACACCTTGTTAGAATTTTATTTTAAATAAAATCAAAAGCCATTTAAAAATACCTTGTAGTGTTTTTATTGCAGTCTGTCAAGTCTGCTCTTAATTATTTATTTCCAGTGGCTCATTGTTCTTTAATGTGAACTGGCAAATTTTACAGAACTTAATTAGAAATCATATTCTTTTTCCTTTCTTCATAATAACTTTGAATTTTCTACATGAAAAACCAAGCTTATTACCCTCACATAATTATTTTAGAAAATGTTTTTGTAAATTGAAATGGACTTTAAACATTATAATACATATATTATTGTCTAATAAGGGAACCTTAAGAAATTGTTTGGATTAATTTGTTGCACCAAATGTTGCTATAGAATGCCATTTGAAATAAGGAAGTAATCTTTTGTCTGACAGATCCTTTGCATTTATAAATATAAGTATTTTTTGGTAACTTTGAGGAAGCATATTATAGAGACTGGGAATAATACCCCATCACACATACAAATCCAGAGGCAGATGTTCTCATTACTTTCCTTTGTCTCTTGCCATTATTTTCATAGTAGCTTGCTTCTTGTAACAGTGTTGTTATACACGTGTGTGAGTCTGTTTCAAAGAGTGATGCACCTGCAACAGGTTTTTCAGCTAGAAACACAATTGTAGAGGCCATTTGAGTCTTTGATTCTGTAGGACTCACAGTCTAACCAGAGTCTATTCACAACATGTTGGCCTGCCTTCAATTACTGTATTCAAAGTTGTATCTAACTTTGGTTCCTTTTCATATGACACTTACAGAAGTGTCTCCCTTCATCTTTACAGTGTCACATTATTTCATAGGGTCTCATGTTAGCTCAACATGCAGTTTTTAAGATCTTCTAGACTAGTTGTGATGAATTAATTGCACTCAAGCATTTCCTCCTAAATTGCGCTCTTGGTGAATTTGCATTGCATTTGATTCTTAGTATAAGTAGTGAAAGTTGCTAAACATATGAAAGGTAACAATTTTATTTAGTGACCATTCAGAAAAAGGAGGCTTAGCTCCTTTAGCCCAATCATCATCATCTAAAACAGTGATCTCCAAAGCAGGATGTATGCATATGTGCCACATATACACAAGGTGCTTCACTGAGATAAGGAGAGAAAATAACACATTTATACCCTGCAATTTCTATTCTTATCTGTTTCAATACATGTAAATGATTATAACTTAAAGAATATGCATGTAATTTATAAATAAATTAACTATACATAAATTTGTGGTACACACTCAAAATTCTATTACTGATAGAGCATACAGTCTAAAAAGTTTCCAGATAATAATCTAAAGCATTTTCTTCTGAAATAATTTTGGCTTATGTGGAATACACAGTAATCCTATTGAACTGATTACAGTATTTTTGTGCAAATTTTCGTATTAGATAAATGTTTAAAATAAACAGCCTAACTTGAACACACAAATCCAAATAAAGTTCCCTTCAAAATAGTCACCATTGGAGGCTATACCTAAATATCCATGTTGCTTCCATTATGCCAAATCAGTGGTGGGACTCATCTTTCGGAATTACCTTTATATTTTTAAAATATTTCCTGACTTCAAATCTTCATCCTTTTGTGGTAATTGTGATATTTAGAAGTAAAAGGATGATTTGAACCCAAGACGATAAATAAAGAGCATGGTCAAAATGTCACTATATATATATATATATATATATACACACACATTTTTTTTTCCCTTTTCATCAAAAATACCTTAAAGGATGGCCACCTGGTCATGCAGCATTCATTTCACAAACAAGTTCCGTTATTTTAAAGTATTGTCGAAAAGCTTTGTTCGCGTAGAAAAGAGAGACATTCTCTATGCCTACAGAGGCTTAAAACAGCCGAGCTTGCAGAAACGGCGGGAAAAGTGAGGGGAGGAAGGAAACTAATGTTTATTTAATGCCCACGATGTGCCAGCATTAAGCGTCACAACAATTTTAAGGGGTGGGTTCTTCTCCCCAATCTGTACGTGAGGAAACATGCTCAGAGAGGGAATAAGATGTGTGCAATCACACAGCTAGTCAGTGGCAGAGATGACTCTTGGGGCCCTGGGCTCTTTGACCTCAAAGCCCATGTCGTTTCTCCTTATAGAACATCACATGGCGTAGACGATTAAGCTACCATGAACACAATATACAAGTGACATTTCCTGAAAGGAATAAGGACAATTAGTGAGGTACTGTGAAGGCAGTTGTGTGAGTTCTCCTTTAAGTTGGAATGATTCTAAGTATCTTCTTGCAGACAATTAAAGGGAAAACTTAAGAAATGTTCAGTGAAATAGAGTGTGGTAGACAGATACCAGTACCTCGTGGTGGTGCAGAATCGGAATAGGATCGGAGTCACTGTTGGCAGGGTGTGGGGAAGATAAGCCTACATTTCTAGAACACCTACCAGGTGGCAGCACCTGTGTTTGGCATTTCACAAGCAGTAGGGATGGGGCAGAAGGACAAGAGCCTTCGAGTCAGAGAAACATAACTTTGAAAACCCAGTGCTGACACTTACAGTTTTCTGACCTTGGGCAAATTACTTAATTCTTCCGTCTCCATTTCTGTAACATGGGAATAATACTATCTGTAGTGAAGGAGAAGTAAAGAGCATACCATGTTTAATAGCTTAGCAGAACACTTGGTGTGAACTAACGCTCACAAAAATTGTAACTGTGATTAGTCACTTTCACAAATGTTATCCAACTTAACTCTTATAATTACTCTGCTGTAACGTACTGTGATCCAAGTTCTGTGGATGACGAAACCTGGGTTATTGGAGTTTAAGAAACTTGACCAAGGTTGCAAAGTGATAAATGCTGGTACGAGTATTGGAAACCAGGTCATTCTCATAACAAAGCTTTGCCCTTAATACTATTCTCTGCTACCGGAAGGGGGCCTGCTGGAGTTGACCGTGTTGAATAATGGTTTCCTCCAGGAAATTGAAAGAAATTAAAGGGAAAATGTTTTTAAGCTCTATTTTTTTCTAATCAAAATGAAAATTCCTTTATTGAGTTGCATGAAAACAATTTAGATGACCATGTTTATTGAATTATTATTTATTTTTTAAAGTAATTTGGTCATTGACTTTTTTCTTAATGTCAATAAGGAAATTGGTGGTGCCTTTTAGCTTGTAAGACGTTAATATTTTGGCATGTTAAGAAGTGGCTAAATAAAGGATGTTGCTATATGAGGCCCATCTTGTGAAGCTGGGGACCACATGAAGCTCAGGGGTCATTTGAAGGGGACAGAAAGGGTATTGGGTAGTTGCAGCTTCACCACACACCATAAATAAACTAGAGCTCCAAGGACAACTGTGTTCATCCAACAAATATTTACTTAGCACAGGTACACGTGCTTCCCGCTCTCATGGAGCTTACAAGCAAACAAAGTAACTTCAGATTATGGTAACTGCTCTGAAGACAATAAAACTAAGTCAGATGGAGAGTGACTGGGTGGGTGACTGGGGAGAGATGACATTGATGCTGACACCTGAATTATGAGAAGGAGCTAGCCATGCAGATTAGCGGGGAGAGGACTGTGGAGGGGACCGTTCCAGGCAGAGGACATAGAAGGGCTCCGGGCAGGAGCAATCTTCCAGTGTTCCGGGAATATAAAGGAGCAGTGTGGCTGGAAGGTTGTAAACAAAGGAGAGCAACACAAGATAACACAAGGTAAAAACAGAGAGGCAGGCATGGGGCCGCATCAGGTCCAGTGTCTGCCGTATGGCATTTGGAATTTATTCTAGGTGCAGTGGAAGTTGTTGTAGGGTTTAGGTTGAATTGGGACCTGGTGTTTTAAGATCGGCTGCTGCGTGGAGAAAGGAGTTTAGAGGAAGAAGACCGTTTAGGAGGCTGCTGCCTGGAGAAAGCCTTCTTGAACTTGAATGTGAGTCCCTGACCCTCAGGGATTGTAAAACCCAGAGTTTCTGATTCTGTAGGTCTGAGGTAGGGCCTGAGATTTCACCTTTGGAATAAATTTTCAATAAAGCTGATGGACCATGCTTTGGGAACCGCTAGAAAAGAGCATTTCCACAACATTTTTCTTGGGGAAGCGAGTTCCAAAATATGTTAATTGATAGTCTTTGTGGAAAAAAAACAACCCATGGCCAAATAAATTTGAGGAATACTTGAATTTTATGGCCATTCAGTATATGTTATCCTCTTAAAGGTCCTGAGATGTTTTACAGTTAAGAATCCTTTGTAAACATGTTTAATTCCTCCATTCCCGAGTGTCTAAGTAATGACCTTGAGGACCCACTGAAATGAGGTCTTTCTGGTGATCAGTTGATAATTCAGAAGGACTTTGCCAATAGCGAAAGTGACCAGGGCCATTATTTCTGCTGAGGGAAAAAAAAAAAGACCCCTGTACTACGTAAAGTTTATCTAATCTTGAAATTTTTAATGTCTTCAGCCCTTTTCATTTCTCGGATCAGTCTTGTTTCCAGAGTGTGCACTTTCACAGTGTAAAAGTGTTGTATGACATAGTGATTTTTCTGTTCTTTTAACCAGAGAATCTTTTGTGTTCGTAGTATATCACGCTGAGTATCTTTCTATAAAACATATAAGGGCAGATCTGCTCTAGGTGAAATGTAGAAGCTGGGGGACTGGAGACATCCCATTTCCCTCACGTAGACAATCCCTTCCCCCATGGTTCTCAGCCACCCCCGAAGGGTTTCCTGAGTCCTGAGGGTTGCTCAGAACATGTTCTGTAGGGCAGTAATCCAGCTGAGGGAGCTAGAGGTTAGGAGAAAGTCCTGCGCCTAGATGCACCTTAAGCTACTCATTTAACCTCTGAGCCTCTTTTCCCATCTAAACATGGTTATAATCCATTTCCTTCCTGGAGTTACTGGATGGATTAAATGATATAGTTTTAAAATATATATATGAAAGTAGCACTTTGCTCTGAAAACTATCATCCATGTCCTGTGGCAGAGAAATTTAATGCACTATTTCCCCCAAAAGG